ACAACTTTTCTCACGAGACTGTGAAGCACAAACTAAGCAGCACTTTTCTGATATGAAGATAGCAGTATGCACATAAACCATCATGACAGTAATTAATGGTTCCTAGAAAATGACAAGGCCTTGAGGAGTCGTCTGCTCTATTAATACAATTTCCAAACCACTCTAAAACCCAGTTGTCTACTTTGCCTCAGAAAGTTCCCAATGACATCAGAACAGAACAAAGCACAATTAGAACTGTTCAAGTTTCATATGGACCTTTTTTGATCTTAGAAAACAGTTCTTGTTCAATTTCAGTTAAGAAAGAAAATTCCCCAGACGTTCATGGAACCAGTCTTCCTGATGGGCCAAGTAAAGCCAATGACCCTCAGGTTGACATTGAGTATGAGAAGAGTTTCACAGAAATGTGTGCCTCACTTAAAATCTTGGGATGAGGATGAGATGGGTTTATCTGCCATCAGAATAATTGCAATGACATAAGAACAGACTTTGCACCTTTTCTCTATAGAAGCTAGCAGCACCATGTGTTTGCCTAAGGTTGCTTATCTTTATAGGAAGGAAGGAAGGCAGGCAGGCAAGCAGGCACAGAGGGAGGGAGGGAGGAGGGAAAGAAGAGAGGGCAAAAGGGAGAGAAGGAAGGAAAGGACAACCTTTGAATTCCACAGAAATTTCTCATACAAAATATATATTGACTGTACAAAAAGAAATTCATATCCCATTTCCTTACTATTTAGTAAAAAATATTTTCTTTTAACCAGAACCAAAGACTTCTTCTCTTTCCGTTTGGATATGATTAACTGTCTTTTATTTCAATCAGCAGCTGCCACACGCATCTTGGATAAAGGGTCAACTTCTTCTCCCTAAAGCTAGTTTTTTTCCATAAAGACAGGTGTCTACTCTAACGTTGGTACCAAGAATAACAGTGAAGATTTTAGCTATGTTTAATAAGGATCCATCAGCAACTATGTGTTTAGTATCCACTGAATACTCAGCACTGTCCTAGGCAATGGAAGATGTACAAAGAATTGAACAAAAAGTTATTCAATATTATTTAGCTCCTGCTCTATGATGACAAAAATGTTCCCATCCTAGATCCTGCTCTTGAGGACCCCAGAAGGGAAATGGACAGATAAGGGGGGAAATTAATATGATGTGACATAGCAATATAAAGGAGTATAAGTTATAAAAATAAAACAAAAAGAGAAATAATTGTCAGGGAAGTAGGGGGGTGATTATAGAAGATTACATTCAGGAGGTAACTGCTGACTTGTGACTTCTGAAGAATAATTAGGAATGCTCCAGATGAATGACCTGGAAAGGGAAAGCACACAACAGCCAATTGGAACCTTCAACATAAAGGCCTTGAACTGTCATCCAACAGAGGGAACATTAGATTGGAGGTATAGGTAAAGGGCCACTGAATGTCATGGTGCACATTTTAGACTCACAGAAGAAGCCCCCAAAGGATTTTGAGAACTCTTTCAGGCAGCAATATGAAGGGTAAACTGAAGGGGTCAGGCACTAGAGATAAGATATTATAGGTAAGAAAAGGTCTTTGCCATGGCCTCATAGAATAGAAGAGAGGAAGGGAGAGCAGGGGAAACCATGTCAGGACACTCGACCACAGATAATTTCCCAAGGAGTGGAAATCCTATACAGTAGGTCAGCATTTCATAGCAGAGATCAGGAAATGCCCAAGCCTGGTAACAAACTGCAGCAGGGCGGTTTTAGACACCCACCTCTAGCCCCTGAGCTTTCCTTCCTTAATGAACTGATTCACAATCCTTCAAGTGAAAGAAAGCAGATACTGCTCATAGGTTTTTTCTGGGTCCAATGGATGTACAACTCTCTGACTTGGAAGGAGTATTAGTAGAAATCAGCCTAGGTTCAGTCTCACTGCACAACAAATGCCAAGGTGAGACCTCATGGTCAACAGGACTGTAATATGGCAACTGTCAATTAGAAGGTGACTCTGCAAGGAAATATTGAGAAGCCAGGAACACAGCCTTCTTCTCTCCATGCCCCGAGGCTAAAAGCCAGAGGAAGCTGGACACGGAATGCTTGCTTGATGGGCTTCCTGAGAGGAAAGAGATGGTAAGTCCACAGTAGCATCTCAAGACTCTGCTTTGGTGGGAAATCTTCCATTTGATCCACTGCTGGCTAATTTAGCAAATTATGTGTGCCTTTCTGAAAACCACTGGGAAATTCTGAAAAGGAAAAAGCACACAAATAAGGGTTCCAACACCAAAGATGGGAGTAGAGATGTAGCTCTCATGACATGTATACATCCCCTCCTCTTTAATCCCGTTGGTTCTATCAGGTGTCTCCCTAGAGAGTGACCAAGCAGACAATCCCATTCATAGTTCTGAAAGTGATTGAGGCCTTATAAGACTAAGGTAACCTCACTAACTGTGCTGAATTCTATCCTAAAAGTTCAAAAGGGCATAAGGATAAAGTGGCTTAGTAAACAATGGGGCAAACAAATAATGAGGGTTATAAGCCATCATTCTAGGTGATGCACCATAGAATATACTGAGAGCATTGTTAAATTTTTTATTAGACCAGTCTTTGAAAGAGCATGCCTTGTTGTTTTAATTTCAAGTACTATAACTCACATCACTGGATTCTTGTTATACCAGCCCTACTACTCAAAAAAAGTTTACAACAATTGACAATTCTTTTACCTGAAGGCCCACAAATTACACTAAAAAGAATCAATAATTTTCCCTAATCATTTATTTTGAATAAGCCATGAATGGAGATGAACGTGGAAGCGAAATATCTTATGAACCTACCAATTTTGATCTGAAGGACAGATTTGTCACCACATCAAAGCACAGTGGGTAATTACCAGGTGGTTGAAATGACAATTAACTCCATCGTTAATAATTATAATTTGACAGACAATAAATCAAGATGGCAGCCATCTGTAAATAAACACCCACAGAGCCAGCTGAATAGTATTGCACAATAGCTTAACCTCATAAAACCAGCAAACTAGTTCTGACTAGCGAGCAAGTAAATCTCCCAAAGACCAGAGAGAAGCAAATTTTTGGGTCACCATGTTCCTACACTTGTCAGCTGGATACAATTGAGGGCCCAGTGTTGTTTTATTTTGTTTTGTTTTGTTTTTATTTGATTTTTTTCTAAGACAATTATTGTTATTTTCCACAAAACACTCACTCATTTTAAAATATGGGATTATGACTTTTTGATGCAAATGAAACGATTCTCTCAAATAGCTCTACCCTGGAGCCTAATCTCCTCCTCAGGATACTTAGCCCTGACCACAGAGCAACATCTACAGAGTTTACTGTTCCCTTTCTTGAAGACCTCTCCTCACTTATCTTCCATTACACTCCCCTACTTTTTCGACTTTTCAGGAGTCCTTCCTGGATTTTGATGATAACCGTGATGTTAGTAACAACAACGACTACTACCTATATTCTTTGTTACTGTCTGCTAACTGATTTCTATGCACGTTATTGGTTAATTCTCTCAACAGCCCTCTGACATGGAGATCTTTTTTCTAATTACCCTTGAGGATATGGAGGCCAAGAATCATCCAGTCACTTCTCCATGGTCATAAAGCTGGTAAATGGTGGAGCAAAGGTTTTTAACTCGAGTCTGTAATTCCAGAGCCCTTGCTTTCAACTCTGCCACTTCATCTGTACAGTCTTTAATTATTACTATTTTTTTCCAAGTTTTATGTTGGCCTTCTTTTTTTTTCAAATCTCACTCAATATCTTTTCCTTGGTCTGTCTTAGCTACTCCCACACATCTGTGACCTCATTGCTAAGGATTCCAAATCTATCTTTAACCTAGATCTACCTGCTGAGTACCAGCTCCTTGCAGCAACACACTGCTATGGTCCCCACTTGAATTAATTCTTTCATTCAGCGGATATCTATTGAACAACTTGTGGTCAGGCACTATTCGAGGTATAGGGAACAGAGAGGGGAACAGTACAGGAATCAGGGCCATCATGACACATGTATTAGAGATAGATGCAAGAGGGTGGGGGGAGACAAATAATAGATAAAAGCTAATGGTAAATAAGAGTATGATAGATGGTGATATGTGCTAAAGAAAAAATGCAGAAAAGCAACGGATGCACTGGGAAATCAGAGGTAAGAGGGACCTGCCGATTTTAGTAAGGCAGTCAGAGAAGGTCTCACTGAGTAGATGACATTGGAGTGAAGACCTGAGGAGGCGAGGGAGATGATTAGGTGAGCATCTGAGGAGAAGCCGTTCTAGGCAGGGGAATAGTCATTGGAAATGCTAATAGGTAGAAGGATGTCACACGTCTCAGGAACAGTAAAGAACCCACTAGGGCAGAGAGATGCCAAAGAGGACGGGAATAGGAGTCTAAATAGCATTAGATCCAGGAGCTCTGAGGGCTGCATCTTGCAAACCATCACTGTAAATACTTTGGGATTTTGGTCTGAGCAAGATGGGAAGGATATAGAAGCTGTGAACAGTGTAGTCATGACCTGACTTCTTTTTATGAGGACCACTCTGGGGGTGCCTGGGTGGCTCAGTTAGGCATCTGACTCTTGGTTTCAGCTCAAGTCATGATCTCATGGTTGGTGGGTTTCAGCCCCACATTGGGTTATATGCTGACAGTATGGAGCCTGCTTGGGATTCTCTCTCTCTCTCTCTCTCTCTCTCTCTCTCTCTCTCTCTGCACCACCCCTGGTTGTCTCTCTGTCTCTCTCTCAAAATAAATAAATAAACTTAAAGTAAAAACCTTTACTTTAAATAAACTTAAAGTAAAAAAAAAAAAAAAAAAAGAGAGAGAGAGGACCACTCTGACTCTGACAGTTTAGGGGACTATTTCAATAATCCCAGGGGCGCCTGAGTGGCTTCATTGGTTAAGTGTCCAACTCTTGATTTCAGCTCAGGTTATGATCTCACAGTCGTGAGACTGAGCTCTGCATTGGAGTCACAATCAGTGTGGAACCTGCTTAAGATTCTCTCTCTCTCTCTCTCTCTCTCTCCCTCCCTCCCTCCCTCCCTCCCTCTCCCTCTGCCCCTTCCTCCCTACTCTCTCTGAAAAAAAAATGACAATGTTCAATAATCCCATAAAAGATGATGGTGACTTTGAAGAGAGCGGTAGCCACGAATATGGTAAGAAACGATCAATTGCTGGATATATTTTGAAGAAAAGGAAAACTGAATTTGCTGAAGGATCAAAAATAGGATTTAAGAGAGAGGAATCATGGAGGACTCTAAAGAATAGAGCTGCCATTTGCTAAGAAGGGGAAATTTGCCAGGATACAAATCTGAAGGTAAGACTGGGGACAAGATCAGGAGCTTAATATTAAATATTCCCAAGTGGCTTTTGTACACATGTGTACAAAACAGACCAGATACTTCTTGTTTCCAGTTGAAAACTCACACACACACACACACACACACACACACACACACACACACACCATACATTTTTCTTGTATTTTCCTCACCTTCATTAACAACATCACACTATTCCATTCAGGCATTCATGCCAGATATAAGGGCTCTTTTTCATGCTCCCTTTTCCTTCAATCCCACATTGAAGCATCCCTCAATTCATCCCTCTCAGCATTAGACAAGTTCTTATGCCATGAATACACCTTGTTTTTCTGTTTCAGGGCACAAATCCTTCACTCGATCTAGATAATCCACCTAATCATGTACTGCCGTACCTTCCTTGGCCAATATCAACTTATTCTTCAAGATACAACTTAAATATCTTTTCTTTGGAGGCTTCCATGAGCCCATCAGCAAAATTACCTGCTCATTCCTCTTACTGAATTATTACTTATCCATGAAGCCAGTATAACTTTTCCACTTTGGACATTTGTTGGTATTTGTAGTATAGCATACATGTGGGAGTGACAAGAGATGAGACCAAAAGAGGAGAAAGGATTGAGTTTATGAAGGACCCTGAATGTAATGCTAGGGGATTGTACTTAGTCCTGAAGTTGATTAGGAATAGTGGCATTGTTTGGAGAAGGTAAGGGGCCTGGTTTAATGCGAGTCTTCAAGGATTCACTCCACTGACAATGTGAAGGGTGAGCCAGACAGTAAAGTAAGTCAGGCAAAACTTGATGACTTCCTAAAATAAGGTAGGAATAATGGGGATAGAGACAAAAAAGAGAACTTTTCTGAACTAGACTCCATGCACTGAGGATAATAACATTTATTGAGCCTTGCCACTGAATCAGACACAAATTTAAGAACTCCTCTTGTATTAACTCATTTAATGCTCTTAATCATCTCATGAGGGAGGTAGTATTCCTATCCCTATTTTGCGAAGGAGTTAAACTAAGACATAGATTTACTAAGCTGCCCAAGTCACATAGCTATTAACTAATGGAGGCTGGATATATATACTGTCAGCTGCTCCAGGATCCATGCTCTTCTCCCCTACTCTATACCTCTTACAACATAATGGATTAATATAAAACTATAGTTAGCTGCACAAGAACATTTTATCACCCATATCAATCCAAATTGAATGTCTACTTCAATCTTTTTGCAAAATTACCCTGCCAAAATACACCGTTCATGAGCAGTATATTCTACAATTCGTGTTTATATGGATGCTTACCCACTATGTGATGTTTCTCTTAGCCTTTTTTCTCCCTCAGTCAAATGAGGGGAAACATCCAGCATATGGAAGCATTTCCACACTGCAAGTTATACTGAAGGGGAATATTATGCAATTTGCAAACACTGTCAAATGAAATATAAATATGCATTAGAAAAAATGCTACACATAGACAAAAATATCTTTGTATAGAAGAGTCATTCAGTCAATCATTTTTTCATTCAACCAACATTAATCAGGCACCCAATTTATGGCAGGGGCAGTGGTCAGCAGTGAGAAGAGAGAGGTGAATAAAACTTATGCCTTGTCATGAAGAAACTCGCAGCCTTGTGGTTTTTATTTTTAAATGGCCACAGCTGGATGAAAATATTGCAGTTGATTCTCTGTAACCCTCTTAAAGATAAACAGAGTTCTGTGTTTTGATTCAGATAGAGCCATGGTCTCTAGTTCTACCTCTTAGAAGCTGGACATGCCCCCCCCACCCCATCTAATCTGATGAGCCTCCGTTTCCTCAAATGAAAATAAGATACTACCTTCCATGGTGGTTATGAGAATTAGGGATTATGCCCAGTACATAACTCCTAGTTTGAACCAATGAACAGTAAGTGAATGACTACTGTGGCTTTTTATTTTTCAATCACCAGTAAGCTTTCCAAGGGTCCAGCCAAAATTCACAATGAACCAAACATTCCCACCTGTTCCCAAACTAGCAAATAACAACATACAGCAAACAGAAACCTCCCTAGTGACTTCAAGTAGGAAGGAAATGGCCCTACTATCAGGAACTGAATTGACCAAGTTCTTGCAAAAGCAGCCAATGTCTTGTCAACAGCTAACGCACAACAGGAGGAAGGACAAACTTTTTGAGCATTAGCCTATGAATGTGGAATGAAAGTTGCTAAAGAAATGGTGAAGACTCATACAGCAATGCGGGGACCAGCTCCCTAAGCACCAGTGCCCCTGTGGAGAGATAAAATCGGAGTTTTCCTAAAGATGTCCAGACAGGTTTTCTTTAAAAAGTGACACTAGGAAAACGGTCAGTTCTTTACTGATAAGGGGACCCCAGTAAACAAGTTGTTAAACAAGTCCCACCCACCTTTCCAGCTATGAGTCAACAGGGGACTCCCAGTAAAAAAGAAATAAATGGTCAGACTGGTTCTCCCACCTCCACAGGGCAGGCATCTCACCATTTAAGGGATAACTAATTGGAGGAAATCAACAAATGCCAAATACGTTCTAAGTGTCAAACATTATGTCAGGCTCTTCTCCTTGGGTAACTTGTTTAATATTCACAACAATTCAAGCAGGTAGGTAAGTAGGAAGCTATTATTTCCATTTTGCTGGAGGAAGACACTGACATTCAGAGAGGGTAAGTTAGAATTCACGTGAAGCAGTCCAACAGGTTTTCTCCAGAAAAGACCCCAAGATATGACCATTAGTAGGTGGAATTTGGGTCTTGATCTTCCTTACATGAAAACCTCTGTTCATTCAGTTATGCCACTCTGTCTCTCAGAGTAAAATCAGAAATGGGTTGGTATTTCAGATTTGGGGTATATAGAGACCCCAAACAAGTCTCTGCCCTTCTCTATCATGGACCCCCAGCAGGCTGACCTCACTGATGAGTACTCCCTGGGCTTGGCAAATGGGCAGCACCAGCAGGAGATTAGAGGGTGCAAGGAGAGGGAGGTCAGGCATTTCTTCTCCTGTTTCTACCCAGCCTTGCTTTCCTCAGTCATGCTGAATTCCAACAGCTATGGGGCCTGTGTCGGTCCACCCCTCTTCCAGGGGTCTAGAGTCCAAGGCCTACCTCCCATCCCTTTCCGCCTGGGGCAGCAAGTCCTTCCTGATGTTGACAACTCCTGGAATACACCATGCCTTGCGTATTCCCTTAATGGTGCCCATGCCTCATAAATACTCTCTTCACAAAATTATATTCAGCTAAACCCTTGGAGTGTGCCATTAGTCTCCTGCTAAGATTCTAATGATATATAATGAGTTAAAAACTGTTGTATATTTAATTCTACCACAGTTTAGATTCTCAAATTGGGTCTTTGGGTATCTAGTAAATAGCATCAACTTGTATCTTATGGAAATGAGTCAGCTGAAATCGAAGAGAACACATTTTGTTTGGATATGATGAGCTGGCCGGAGGGACAATACACTCCCCACATGTTATTGGCAAACTCTGTGGTGAATGAAGCTTCCCAGTCACACTTGGAATGTGATGTTTTTCATGAGGCCATGCTACAAAGATGAGATCCAAGGAATATGAAAACACACTTTGCAGACCCTGCCAAGAAGCTCTCTAGAATGTATGCAAAATGGAGCCGAAAGTATTTGTAACTCTGTCATAGAAAGTAAAGCTTCAGTTGGGAAAACTTGACTGAGATCACTTGAGCTCTCCTGTCGCTGGCTTTTGGAAAGGAGGAGTGAGTAATTTGAAAATGAATTAAGAAACCTTTCAGCCTTAATGACCTTTTTGAAGTTTTCACAGGGCTCCTACACAACAGTAGTCTGTCCAGGAAACACATAAATCAAACAGGCCAAATTGTGGGGCTTGCAGTCATGCCTCAGTGGGTCTGCTCGGTGAAGGTTCAGCCTCTGTTTACACTATAAAAATGAAGTTGAGATTTTAGCTCCTGATCCCCAAAAGTATGCTTCTTGCCCCCACCCCAAAAAGTGCACCAAAAAACAATCACCAGATACTTCTCCTAAAAATTCCCTGCACGATTGTCTCCTTCTCTGCCTTCACCCACAACTAAACACCTGACTTGTGGTTAGTTACATGACGCACAGGAGGTGTTTGTCTTTGCAGAAGTTTGAGAGGACAGTTTTGTGGTTGGGGTTCTTTGGTCTTACAGCTTTTGGCCTTACTGCAAACACACTACTTCAATTTTTATGCCTTCTTTCCTGAAGAACATCCTATAAGACTATGTTTACTTTTCTAAATCCACCTATGACTCGTTTAGTATCTATCTTCCCTCTCTTCCCCTCCCCCCAACCCCAACAAAGTTTTCCTACATGGACTTTACACCCACAGTACAGTACACGGTAGGTGCTCAAATATTTCCATGAATAAATGTAAGCGTTCCATTAACCTATTTATATTTTTAATCAGTGACCACTGTTGTGTGGGTTAGGGAATAGGGCTATAGCAAGCGTGACAAGTTTTAATTGCCCTGAACATAGGAGGTATTCTTCTTTATCCATCTGCTAGCTGTGTGGCTTCAGGAAAGGTAACCCATCTCTCACTTTTCCCTTCCATAGAGCAGGGACATGAGCTCTTGTTTCACTGATCATTGTGGTGATTAAATACTATAAACTCTGTGAGGGGCATGGCACAGCGATGGACTCATGAAAGAGGCTTCCTAAAGTCCAGCCCAGGCCATTCCTTCTGAACTGGTACCAGGGACACACTATGTGAATAGAGTGAGGGATGGAGGAGATTAAGGGAGGTTCCTTATTTGGAAGAAACACGGTTTTAGTTTGATTTAATCTAATTTCATCCTACTCAAAGCTTTGCTGATGTTTCAGACCTTGTAAGTAGGCAACTTTCTTCAGGTTTCCCTAGAGGGCAGATAGTATTGTTAAGCAGTTTGCTAATATATGGCTACCAGGAATATTTCAAATGACAAATTTTACATGTTATCCAATTTTTCCATCTCTGAATCCTCCCCTAGCTCTCTAGCAGAT